CTAAGAGTGCTTCCTAAACGGAAGGAGGCTCATTTCTGAAGTCAGCCAGACAACATCATGCATAGTCCCCAGTAGGGAGAAGATAGAAGATAGTCTCTCCTTGTCACATATTGTCAAGTTTCTCAATTGCAAAGTTTTTCGGAGCTCTCTAACAACGACCAAAAGTTTTGAGGCAGACGTGTTACATAAAAGAAGATCCAGCTCATTCCTCATCTGGCAGACATGGCACTACCCTGAGTGCAGTGTGGAGTGAGGTCAAATTTGCAATTTAGTTGGAACTTAAAATGTTATGGGAAAATTCAGTTATTCAGCTTGTGCGGATGGATGGTTGGGACACAGATTGATGCTTTGTGCATTATGACCTTATAGATTCATAGATCAGTGATAAATTTTAAAATATAATAAAACAGGGTCAATTAAATTCCAAATCTTCTACTTGGATATACAGTGTCCAACACACGACATGGACGCACACACGCACACTTAAGATTGAATGATGAAAATGACATTTTCATGGATTGACTTAGAGGGGAGAATTAGATTTCATTATTGTGGCTATATATACTACTGACTGGCAAGCACACAAAATGTTCATTTTACTACTAAAATATGACATCCCCAATATTTAAAACGGAAGCTCACATAATCAAATGCTGATCAAATCAAGTGATTCTACACAGAGTATGGGTATTGACCAGCATTTGCTGCCAGGAAAACTTCCACTATGTTTCCTCTGCCCCCTGTATTTAATATTTTATATCATAAAATCATTCTTTCCTACTAGGTGCTCTCAGTTCCATGAAACTACAGCTTTTTAAGAATCAACTATAAAAGTTCTTCAACCAGCTACTCTGGTTGATTGATCAACTTTTCTTTCGGATTAATGTGAGGACTCTTCTTTAGCACTCTGAGTAAGCTTTATAAGATGCAAGTACAACCAAATAACTTGCTTACTTAAAATATTCAGAGGCTTCCTACCATCCACAGAATCACGTCCAAACTCTGTAACTAGGTATTCAAGACCCTGAAAAATTCATGCTTCTACAATCACAACAGAATATTGTTCAGTATAGTCCTAGAAGATGAGCCCCTAGGTTGGAAGGCATTACACAATAGCTGCAACAATGGAATCAAACATACCAATGATTATGAAGATGGAGCACGACTGGGCATCATTTCCTTCTGTTGTACATAAGCTCACCACGAGTTGGAGCCGACTCAAGGGCAACTAACAAACAACCACTCTACCTTTGTTCTGACCTTAAGCATCATCATTGCCTCACCCTTTAGCCTAAACCACCATGCATTTACACATGCTATTCCTCTACCAGGAATTGTTCCATCTTGCAAACTCCTGCTTATCTTTCAAGAATCAACTTCATCTTCTCTCTGAAGACTTCCCTGACTTGTCACCTCAAGTGGTTAACTTTGTTCATAATGACATTGTGTTGTATGTATATCCTTGTTTACTAGGTCTGTTGTCCTCCACATTTCCTCTCTACTAAGCTCCTTGAATGCAGGGCCCATGGATGGCCTCTTCATCTTTGTGGCCATCCCACCTAGAGCAGTGCCTGGCATATGGTGTCCACTGCAGACAGAATGAATGAATGAGTACACGAGAGCCTCCCTAAATGTCTAATTTAATAACCAGGGAGGGATTTGGGAATGGGGAGAGCTTGACTCTCATAGTAAGCAAGGCTAAAGACCTGTTCTGTCCAACTCCAAGAGATTTTACCTCAGAGCATATAACTATGCCTAGCAACTCTTCCCACTGCCCCCACTCAAACCCAATAAAATATTATCACTTATATGTTGGTTTGTGCATAATATTTCTCAGAGCTGGCTAATCTAGGAATAATAGGAATGCACACATTCCAAATTTGACTCACTGGAGAGTCTCATGAATTTCAGTATTAACAAGGAGGCCAAAATATAATATATAGGTCACTGCTAAATATTGCTAAGATTTTGAAGACTGTTGAAATTTAGGGTATAGTTTCTAACTTCAAATGCTACTCTCCAAGAAATACTTCTCTTAGTGAATTGAATGTCATGGTTTGCAAATATGAAGATTAAAGAAAGACCACAATATGTGGAATCATGTATTATCTTAAAATAACTGTATTATGCACATTAAAACATGTAGCTTTCCTTTCCGGTGCGATTGCTTTGTTTGATCAAATTAAAAGTCAGGTTTTCTATGTTGGCATTATGCCTTATTTCCTTAGACTAAATGAAATTGTTCCATTAAAGCAAATAGAAACTTGATAATGGTTTGATTCAAGTTTTAATTGGAATGCCATTCTCCGAATATTTCACAATTCCAGTCATATTCCTCAATATGGTGTTTTCAAATAGAGGCTATGAGCCAGGACTGGATTACAACCCTTGTAGGACTTGAGCAGTTGAAATCTTGACAGAGTTTCAAACCAAGGCCATGTCTGAGGCAGAAAGGGTGCCGGTGAGAAATATTTAGCTCATCACAGACCTCCATAAAGACAAACAAACACTGAAAGCAACATTCCCCCTGAGGTTTGGTCTCAAAGAAAAACTCCTCTTGGGATGAGCACTGTTATGGATTGAATTGTGTCCCCCCAAAATATGTGTTGTAATGGGCAGCTCCTGACCGGAGGCGAGATGAGAAGGTAGAAAGGGATAGGAGCAGTTGAATGGACATGGGAAATCCGGGGTGGAAAGGGGGAGAGTTCTGTCACATTATAGGGATAGCAACTAGGGTCACATAACAATGTGTGTATGAATTTTTGTATGAGAATCTAACTTGAGCTGTAAACTTGCCCCTAAAACATAATAAAAAATTTATGTGTGTGTGTGTGTGTTTTGTAAATCCTAACTCTTATACCTGTGGATGGAGCCCTGGTGGTGCAGTGGTTAAGAGATCAGCTGCTAACCAAAAGGTCAGCAGTTCAAATCCACCAGCTGCTTCTTGGAAACTCTATGGGGCAGTTCTACTCTGTTTCATAGGATCTCTATGAATCAGAATTGACTTGATGACAATGGATTTGGTTTTGGGTATACCTGTGGATGTAATCCGGTTTGAGAATAGGGTTTTACTTGTTATGTTAATGAGACCGTCTCAGCGTAGATGTGTTTTAAACCCAACCACTTCTGAGATGTAAAAAGAGCAGATTAGGCACAGAATGGTAAGCATAAAAGGGGGAAAGATGATGCCACGTGGAGATTACCAAGAACTGAGTAACTCCAGGGTAACAGAAACTGGACAGGTTATCTTCCCCCAGAGCCAACAGAGAGAGAGCCTTCCCCTAGAGCTGGTGCCCTGAATTTGGACTTCTGGTCCCCCGAACTATGAGAAAATAGATTTCTGTTGTTTAAAACCACCCACTTTTGGTATTTCTGTTACAGCAGCACTAGAAAGCTAAGACAAACACATAGTTTAATTATTGATTAGCAAGTAACACTTAACATGGCTTCCTTCTTGTTTCTAACATGGATTGCACCAAAGTATCAAAATCCTTTCATTTTCTCTGTCTCTCTTTTTTAAGGCTTCCTCACAGCAATGAGGCAAGAAGTGACCCGAGCCCACAAAGGCTGGGCCCTGGACTCTGTGACAATCCACAATGAGGTCCTGCGACAGACAAAGGAGGAGATCACATCACCACCTGGGGTAGGCCCCACTGGGCAACAGCAGGGATGGTCCTGGAGCCAGGGCTGAAAGTTCAAGTTCGGCTTAGAACTGACCTATGAGTGCCTCCGTTAAACCCATTAACTTTGCAGCAAAGGCTTCCTCCCGTTGTACAGAAGACCTCAGTGTCAGAGCCTCCTGTATCTGTCTGCCAGAGGGGGAGGTTAATGACTAGGTCTAGCCAACGCTGGCAACTCCCCAGACTGCATTTCTTTATAATTACAAATTATGCTTGTATTTGCTAACAAGGATTTTCCACACGTCTCCAGCTACTGTTGTGGGCTTCTCACAGAACCAATGAGTGTTGAGGGCAGTAGAGACTAACTGGATTAGTAGTCCAGAGCCCTGGGGCTGGTTCCAGCAGTGTCCCCAGGTAGCTGGGAAAGGTGGAAGAATGCCTGGCTGGGGAAAAGGGTAGGGCCTCCAAGATAAACAAACACCACTGGGAGCCTCTGCTTTGACGTTTCTCTGCTCTGTACACTGGGAGTCCCTAGGTGGTGCAAACGAAGCACTCGCCTGCCAACCAAAATGTCAGTGGTTTGAATCCACCTAGAGGCGCCACAGGTTGTCTTGGGCAGCCTAGACTAAGATCCTGTGTGACCCACAACTCCAAATCCCATTTCTTGCTCCCACTCTACACCAGCTTGGCCCAAGTCTTGGAGACTTTAAGCTCCCTGCTGAGGTGATTTGGCATGCCAGCTAAATCTGTTGCACAAAGTGGGCCGCCCCCATGCTCAGACAACCAATAACATTTCTACAGTGCTCAGAGCCCTGAGATATGCCGCAGGGGGGAAATTGGGCTCAATATTTCACTAATGCAATGTGCCCAGTGGTGCTTTCTTCCTTTGGTAGCATTTTAAGACTGGTGTATGTTTTCTTTCCAAAATGACAACCTTTATTACAGTAATGGATGCTCATCTCACAGCACCTAATTTTTAAAAAACCCTATTACCTTATGCTTGACTCTTCAGGAAGGTGTGTATATTTATGGACTCTACATGGATGGAGCAGCCTGGGACAGACGGAACGGGAAGCTCACAGAATCTACCCCCAAAGTACTCTTCACGCAGCTGCCTGTGTTACATATCTTTGCCATCAACTCCACAGCGCCCAAGGACCCCAAGCTGTATGTGTGTCCTATTTACAAGAAGCCGAGGCGCACAGACTTGACCTTCATCACTGTGGTATACTTGAGAACAGTTTTGTCCCCAGATCACTGGATCCTGAGAGGAGTGGCCCTTTTGTGTGACATCAAGTAAGTTCACTCCCACTTGCTGAGGGCACCAGGAGTCATGTACATAACCAGTCTTATCGAGAGACTGGCCATGTGTATTTCTTCTCCCTGATAACTGCTTGATTATTCTTTCTAAATTAAAAACTTGATATTCTACATTCGCTTGGGGTTTTTTTCCCTCATGTCAGAATTTTCAAAAAGACAATTCTAAATTAATACTTTTTTATTTCAGGAAATCATATTCCATTATAATTATCTTTAAGATTAAAGTCCTCTCTTCATGTGAGAACACTTCAGAAGGTTTGAATTTTGAAAAAGTAAATGTAAAAATGCATGGCAGAGGCATCTGACTTCCTCTAACTTCAGAAGGGGGAAAGAGAATCAAGATCAACAGCCCAAGGCTGATTCCTATGAGGCGGAGGTCAGACATATCTCCTCTTTCTGTCCTCTTTACCAATTCTGACACCAGCCATCCCTCCCATGGCACTCTTTGCTTCTCTGCTGAATTCGATAATTCATTGCAATGGCCACACAGAACTCATGGACAATACTCATGTTTATGGGGTTTATTAGGCAAGTAACAGGTTACTATAGAGTTGCTATGAGTTGGAATCAACTCGACAGCGATGAATTTGGTTTGGTTAACAGGTTATGATTCAGGTACCCGAATGCTCAGGGTACAGTTTTTCCATCAGGACAGCCTCTCCTCAGTTGTGCCTACAGGCAGGTCTCTCCCTGGCCCTCGGCCTCTCGGCTTGGTCTCTGTCCTGCTCGGGCAAGCATTACAAAGCTCTTTTAGCTCTGCCAATAAGTGCCCAGAGGCACCCCACTTCATCAGTAAGCATCG